GTTTAAGACAATGAGGGCAGATACTGTGGCATACTTGCACACTAGGACTTTGTCGACTGAGCTCTGGACATGATTGCAATCAGATTCATGGAGCGGTTGGGCTTCAAAGAATTAGCCTTTCAAAAAAAAAAAAAAAAAAAAAAAAAAAAAAAAAAAAAAGGGAAGTGGAAGCAAAAAAAGAAAGGAAAAAAAAAAAAAAATCGACCAGGTAACCATGTGACAACTTGCAAGTGCCCAATGGGAGAGAAATGCCTGAGGACCAGGTCCCCAACTACCGGTAGCAGCGTTGAGTTTCCTCAACGCCTGAATCTGGACGCTTTTGTTGAGAGGTGCGGTTGTAGAGACTCGACGCGATTTTCGGCACTTGTCCACAAACACGTCCATATTCAGCGCGATTTTCGGCACTTGTCCACAAACACGTCCATATTCAGGCGTTGAGGAAACTCAACGCTGCTAGCGGGACTTGGCCCCGGAACTTCCCTAAGATGGCGAAAAAGCTACTGCTATATCACCGAACTCCTCTGTTTTCACTTTGTCCTCCTCCCCCCCCCCCTTTCCCCTTCGCCTCCCCCCCTACCCAGGTGAGCATGAGATCAGTGTGTGTGTAGGGGCTCCGTGATGGACATGGTACCATCCCCGAAGCCTCCCAGCCTTTATCACCCAATTTGTGTTATAGCCTCTCCCAGCCTCCAATCTCTCAGCATCCTAATAATCAATCATTCATAAGAATCATAACTATACCATCATACGCAACAAACGACTTTTAGGATGCAAACAGTGAAACATCATTCTGAGCGACCAAAAAAAGAAGTTAAAAAAAAGACGTAAGTGTGACCAACTCTTGGCTGGAATGCTGGAGCAAGATCGTGTCCATTGAAATCACGGGATCCTAATTTGTCAATTTCCGTGTACATCATTCTGATGTTTAGCGCACAGCACACCGAACAGCACAAATGCGTGAGAAGAGTATGGTCTGAATACAACGAACGATGCGTGAGAAGAGTATGGTCTGGATACAATGAACCATTTGTGTAGAGAGGTCGGGGTGGAAATTCGCAGAGGGAAAAAAAAGATGGTATCGGACTGTGGCTTGATTGAGGGGCAGTGGGGTAAGGAGCGTCTGACAATTTTGTAGATCACTACCATCTTCCCCCGAACATAACGCATAGGCGTTGTAAACGAATACACAACGCATACGCACGGGCGTCCTATTCGAATCATCGATTTTTTTTTGGGTGGAAAGCTCGAATACAACGCATATGCGTTATGTTCGGGGGATTACGGTAGGGTTTAGACTTAAAAAACACTTCAGAAACTTAAAAAACTTCAAAAACATAAAAAAAACTCGAATAATCTTCAACACCATTTCATGCAATACAAATTGAAAGCTTGAATACAACGCATATGCGTTATGTTCGGGGGGATGACTGTAGNAAAAAACTCGAATAATCTTCAACACCATTTCATGCAATACAAATTGAAAGCTTGAATACAACGCATATGCGTTATGTTCGGGGGGATGACTGTAGGGTTTAGACTTCAAAAACACTCCAGAAACTTCAGAAACTTCAAAAACATAAAAAACTCGAATAATCTTCAACACCATTTCATGCAATACAATTTCCAAATCTCCTCCCTACCTCTCCCCCCACCCCCCCAAAACAAAAAAAAAAAAAAAACAAAAAAAAAAAATCTTCAAAGTCCGTTTCACACATTCAGTCATCGGAAGAGGGGGGGTTGGAGGGAGGCGGCGAGGGAGGGGAGAGGTTGAACATTCACGCATGGCCTCCAAGTAGGTACACTACGTACCTATAACAAACGAAATTTGGCCAAGAAGAAGTCCAGCGTTGAGATAATCGATGAAGTCGTTCTCAAAAGGGGTTGTGTAGTACTGGATAATGATTCTTCCCGCCAAAATGATGAAAGTGATGGTCACTTGCCCTCCAGGATGATGAGGAAGGAACACGAGGACCACAGCAAATGCGACCCTCCTTGCTATGAATGTCAGGCGCCACCACCAGAATTTCCGCGTAAATCGATCGTAAATCCATCCAAACCGTTGCCGGAAGGGGGATCGATCAAACGACCTGTGTTTGCGAGCATAGAGAAGCAACGCCAAGAACAGAGAGGGAATGCCGACCACATACACGCCCAGCAAAATGGAACCCCCGGCAAGGATGGGCTTGTGAACACTGCCTCGCCAGAGCATGGTGGGATCGGGACCCAGCACTGTCGCGCCATAATATTGCTTATCGAATACCTGAAAAATGTGTGTGTGTGTGAGTGTGTGTGTGTGTGTGCGCGCGTGTGTGTGTGTGTGTGTGTGTGTGTGTGTGTG